CTCTATCGAACCACATCGACGCGATCGGACTGCGAATCTCCGGCGGCGTAACCGGGGCCCCCCCTCACCTGTCGTAGGTGGAGTCGTAACGCAGGTTTTTCAGACTTTCTCCGAAATTCGACGCTTGGAAACGGGGGTTAGAAAATGCCGAAAAGTGAAGGAGACAAGTTACTTTTCCGCACTTAAAACCAGACCCTCCCGAAATTTCTAAGTAAAGTAACGTTTTAACAAATACGAGGCCCTCTTCCCTTTGTCTACGGTAAAACTCTGTCCCACAAACTCCGTAAAGTATCTAGAAGTGTTAACTTTAACCTAGGAATGCGGTCGATGCTTGTCCGTCCTAACCAGGCCTAGACGTCGGGGGAGGCCAAGAGAATTCGATCGAATTTGCGCCTCGACCGTAGGATTATCTTAACACGGGGAATTACTTAGATCGGATAGTGTCAAAAGGCGAAGAGGGTCGCGCGCCTACGCCGAAAAATTTACTTCCAGCATTAAATCTGCTCGACGAAAACGGACAGAATACAATCAAAAACCTCTTCCGATACCTTCACCGTTTTTACAGGATCCCCTCTAATTCGGTTGTCATAAAACACACAAATCTCTCATCCTATCCGACGGTCTTCCAGGTAAAAATCATACCTGGAAACGGAGATATTCTTAGGCCTAATTAATAGGGCCTAGGCCCGAAATTTTCCTCGTTTAACTCCTACAGGTATTTCGTTAAATGGCATTAAAGCGGCGTTTCTAAGTTGCCAGAAACAACGATTTCGTTACTTTGTACGAGTTATTTTTGTGTCCTACCGAAATGGCTAAGGACCCGCAACACTAGGACACGGATGAATAGTNTTTTCTTGGGTTAAAAAAACCACCAAAAAATAAAAAAAAATAAGCAGCTTCCATACCGTAAGATGTAACTAAAAATTAAATTAGAGAAAGGTAATCAAAATTTTTTGGATGCTTTTTCCTGTTTTTATCCCCCCTTCTTCTTTCTTTTTATCCTGAAAGATGCAAGTGATGCGGATCAATATATATATATATATATATATATATATAGAAGCATCATCTCTCTCTGACACTATATAAACTGTACCCTATGTGTTAATATAACGTCGATTGATTCATCTTTTCTTCCTGTTATACGTCATAATATAAAGCCATTTCGAGTGAATGTAATCGCTTTTATCATTGGTTTATAAAGATTCAAATTCGGTGTTAAAAAAAAATTGAATTTTCTGGTTGTAAGTGAGGCAATTCTTAATTAAAATTTAAAAAAAAAATTGAGTTTATTTTTTCGAATTTTTAAGTGTAAGAGATTTCTAATGGGAGTTATTTTTCGAATTCCTCTTCGACTTTTTTTTTTTTTTANATTTATGCCCGAAAATGGAAGCGAAAAAGGTGTTTCGTCTTCGTTCCGGACCCCGGAAAGAGACGAGAAAAATCGCTATCGCGGACGTCAATTGGGCGACGCGACGTTTAGTGTGGGAGATGGACGGTCGCGTGCGCCCGTTTGTGGCGAACATCGTGTTAACAATAGGCGCGCACACCAGAAAATCCATTGTTATGTCACGACGGTGCGGTACCGAACGAGAAAGACGTCTGGTCGTAAAGACCGACGGCCACGCCCTCTATCGAACCACATCGACGCGATCGGACTGCGAATCTCCGGCGGCGTAACCGGGGCCCCCCCTCACCTGTCGTAGGTGGAGTCGTAACGCAGGTTTTTCAGACTTTCTCCGAAATTCGACGCTTGGAAACGGGGGTTAGAAAATGCCGAAAAGTGAAGGAGACAAGTTACTTTTCCGCACTTAAAACCAGACCCTCCCGAAATTTCTAAGTAAAGTAACGTTTTAACAAATACGAGGCCCTCTTCCCTTTGTCTACGGTAAAACTCTGTCCCACAAACTCCGTAAAGTATCTAGAAGTGTTAACTTTAACCTAGGAATGCGGTCGATGCTCGTCCGTCCTAACCAGGCCTAGACGTCGGGGGAGGCCAAGAGAATTCGATCGAATTTGCGCCTCGACCGTAGGATTATCTTAACACGGGGAATTACTTAGATCCGATAGTGTCAAAAGGCGAAGAGGGTCGCGCGCCTACGCCGAAAAATTTACTTCCAGCATTAAATCTGCTCGACGAAAACGGACAGAATACAATCAAAAACCTCTTCCGATACCTTCACCGTTTTTACAGGATCCCCTCTAATTCGGTTGTCATAAAACACACAAATCTCTCATCCTATCCGACGGTCTTCCAGGTAAAAATCATACCTGGAAACGGAGATATTCTTAGGCCTAATTAATAGGGCCTAGGCCCGAAATTCTCCTCGTTTAACTCCTACAGGTATTTCGTTAAATGGCATTAAAGCGGCGTTTCTAAGTTGCCAGAAACAACGATTTCGTTACTTTGTACGAGTTATTTTTGTGTCCTACCGAAATGGCTAAGGACCCGCAACACTAGGACACGGACGAATAGTTAAAAAATAACACTACGACTACGAAAAAGGGTGGTAATTAAGACAAGAAAGACCTACGATATCGTCCCAATTGGTTCTTCTCCACGGGGGTGAGAAAGGTGTAAAGAATGTAACGCTGTTAGATATACAAGAAAAGAACACCGGGAAAGTACTGTACAGTACACGATACTCTTCATTCCCCTGAAAATATGTTCGTATATCTCTTTCTATTTAGGAAACTTATGTGAAGAGAACACGGCATAAGTTAGGTGTATAAAAGCTTTTAAGACGAGGACCACGTGCCCGGCTGCCTCTACCCCATAATCCAACAGCTACCCTATAACGGATATAAGAATGGACTTGTATAACAAATAATTATACAGTATCGTTCTTTGAAGTTTGGTTAAGGGGAAGACTAGAAGAAATTTACACTAAAAGGGGGAGACTTGAGAAGAAAAGTCGAGAAACACAGGTCTGGCTGGACGTACAGTACTGTACTTGGCAACATGGACCAAAGCGTTTGCCTACGTTTCTCTTTTGTTAGCCACGCCGAAACACTTGGATTTAGACTAATTGTAATCTTAATTTATAACACATAACGGGCCCACCCCTCCACTAAATAACCATAAAGGTATGGAGGCCCTAAACTAAACACAGACTCGACACCGGATGTCAAATTTAAGTTTGTTTAGCTTACGAGCAAATCGGGACCCGTTCGGACCGACACAAGTTTTAAGATTTTTACCATGTCCCCTTTTAAGTTTCGGTGTTCGTCCCACGTTCGTAGTGTTCTACGTCAATTAACGTTGGTGACGGGGACCAGGTGAGAGCGATCGATAGACTTAGATACGTGTCTCGGCTGGCCTCACTCGTGCGAATATCGAACGGGGCCCTACTAGGCCCGTTTCTTCCTCTCCGGGCCCGGCGATAAACAGTCGGGGCGTCGTCCCTACTGTAACCGATTTTTCTTCCTACCCCCTCCATTAACAGGCGCCGAAAGCGGAAAGCCGGGTTAAAAGGGGATAGATTTACGTTCCACCTTTAGTCTTTCGACTTTTAACACCGCCTTGCCTTATTGAAAATCAAAATCGGATTTCCTTCCTCCCCCCCGTCGGCCCGTCCAATAAGAGAAAAGAATAAAATTTCGCCCGGACCAATCTCGCCGCCCGTAAGAACGTCGTTTCGATTTCGAACCGAACTTTTCGGCCGTTTTCTGGCTCGTAAAGGGCGCGCTAAGAATTTAATAAATCGAACAATAAAACGGGCGATTAAATAAATAGTAAAATCGCGATTAAAGAGATTAACCGCGCAGGCGCCCCATCGACGGGCTCGGGGGTTTTTCGTCCCCTTTCGCTTGGGAACGGCGCGGCCGACCGACGCGTCGGTCGCGTCGATCACGTTTAACGCCGCCACCGCAAGCCATGAGTCATCGGTTTGTTATTTTTTTTATTCGGGGTCGCGTACGAGCGGAAGGACGGCGACCCCCCGCCGCTCCCGTTCGATCGTCGCCTCCTCTCGACAGATGTTAACTCTCCCTTTCTAAGCGCGCGACTCCAAAAAACTCGCCCGGTTCCTTCCCTCGTAACCAACGTCTTATCCGGGATTACCCTAATCCTTCGCGCCTCGCCCGTCAAACTCTATCTTTCCCCCCCGACTTATGCCCCTTTCCCCGCGCATTTCGAACTGTTGCGTTGTTCTCTTCGTCCCGGTTAATCGGGGTTTCGTTCGTCGGTCCTCCCCAACGATGGGGGAGGAGGATAGGGCCGTCGTCTTTTGTTGGCGTCGCCGGAACGGAAAGCGCGGCGCGCGCGCGCGCCGAATATTTCCGGTGCGAAATTAGGAGGGGATCGAACCCTGGCCCTGAACGAAAGAAAGAGGGACCGAAATTTCGTATGGAATCGTAGACAACGCAATAAGCGCCACCATTGTGGGAGAAATGAGCGAAAGTAGCCGAGATAAGCCGGCGCGATCGCCGCTTACCGGCGCGTTCCGGGCGCGGAGGGCGACCTTTTTCCACCGAAAACGGGCGGAAGAGGGATCCGTTTGGAGGTGGAAACGACTGGAAGGAGCGTAGAGGGCGCCGCCGTCCAGAAAGGTCGAGAAAGGATCTCCCCCGGTCGTCGCCTAATAAATTAATAAGTATGTAAATATAGAGACGTTATCCGTTAAACTCGATAATAAGCCGAGGGGATTTTCGCCTCCCACTCGGACCCGGCGGCGCGAAGGATTAGAGCGCAGCTCCCGAGGATATGTTTGCGCGCGACAATATTTGTTAATATTGTTTATCCGCCGATCGCCTTAATCGGGGATGGTCCGGGCGCGCGCGCGCTGGCTGGCCGGATGGCCTTTCCCCGTCCTCTTTCCTCTACCCCTTTTTCTCCCGGGGATTTTTTCTACGGGGCCCCCGGGCCCTCCGTTTCCTCGGGAACGCGCCGGACGGCAGGAGGGCGCCTTCCGCCGCTCGTTTCCCCCGGACCAGGCGGCAGGCAGAGGGGGAGCGAGCGACCGACGGCGCGAACGGAGCGTAGAAAAGGACTAGACACGTACCTGGCCGTGGTGCAGTCCTTGTACAGCGTGTCAAAGTCCTTACACGACAGCAACTTGCAACGATTAACACCTGGCTGAATAGCTCCGAGTCCTCTAAGGATTCTCACCTGTTCCACGTTGCACACGATGGGAGTGATGTCCAATCTTTTCAACTTGGTGTACACGGTGTGTAGTCCTCCCACCAGATGCTTGAGAAACAGCTCGAAGGCCTGAGGTAAACAGAGAAGGTACTCGGCGTTGACCAGGAAGGCGGCCACTTTGGCACCTCTGTAGTCGATGAGACGACACTCGTTGACCGACACGTCGGCCGGCACCCCGGGCGGCGAGGGGGGATGGGTGGGCCTGCCCCCGTAGGCCAGGGCGGCCGGGGCCGAGACGGGCGTCCCGACCGCGGGTCCGCCGCCGCCGCCGCCGCGCGGGTGAAAGGCGTCCAGGCAGTGTTTGGGGACGCCCCCGTTCATTCCGGCCGGCGGGTAGCCCTTGTGCTGGGGCACCTGAACGGGCGCCAGGCCCGCCGGGCTGACCGGCGAACGGCGCGGCGGCGTTTCCAGAGCGGAGCGGGGCGAGGCCAAAAGGCCCGACGTCTGCTGTCCATGCTTGGGGCTGAGTCCGTCCGATTCGGTGACGATGACACCCGGCTCCAGATTCGGGGGTGTCTGAAGGGAGTGCGGCGACGCCAGACCAGAAGCGGGCGAGGGGGTGCAGTGCCCCCTACCGTCGTCCATCGGTTCCGAGCGCGAGTACACCTCGCCGCGGCTGCACCGATACTGGCACGTCGACGGCGCGACCGCGCGCTTATCCCGCTACCGGGCCGTCCTCGCCAACTGTCGGCCAATCACGGCCCTCCTCCTCCCTCGTCCCGCGTTGGCGCTTCACCGCCGAACCGCGTCTCGCAGACACCAGAAAGCCGCCGTCGTCGCCTACTTACCGTCGCCGGCGCGCATGTTCCCTTCGCCTCTCTCGTGCCCGGACTCCGCGAATCGCCACCCGCACCCGCGGTGAGACTCTTGTTTTTTTTTTTTCATTTATTTCTTCCCACCAGGGGGCGTCCCCGCCACCGGGCCCACCCCCGAAACGCTCTTCTTTCCGAAGGGAAATTGGCTCCACCGTAGGGAAACAGACAAGTATTTGTTTAGGGAAAAAACGGGAGGGAAAGAATTCTTTCACCTCCGCATCCGTCTTCGCTTCGTCGATGCTCTTTTTTGATAAGCGTCATTAATCACGCCGGAGCCTTTTCTATTTTTTAGCATTTCTTTTTTTTTCTAATTTTATATTCGTCAATAATTGGGCGGCAGGTAAAGTCTTAAGCGGATCGAAAAATGATCTCTTTCTTTACTTCTCCCTCTCCTTTCCCCTTTCTCCTTCCCTCCATCCATCCGTACAAGCTACTTCGGGCCGAAAACTTCCCTATCTTAAAGTCATTTCTGCACTTCCAGGGTGCGAATTACGCACTTTTTTCTTTCATTTCCTCCCCCTTTTATCCTAAGATTATACCCAAATCAAACGAGTTTTTTCATTGGTCCAGAGTACCGGCCAAGGTGCGGCTTTTTTGTCCCTCCCCCTTCGCTCCCGTTGTAGGGTGCGGAGTCGAAATCGGGGAAGCGGAAGGGCCCTTCCTTCACCTTCGGGACGATTTTACCTGGTCGATTCCTCCGTAAAAATCGGTCGAACGAATTTTCCCGCGGACGAAATTAGAGTCGGTGCGAAAAACTGGGTCACCGTATTTTGGGGGAGGAACCCCCCCTTTCCAGCCATCTATTTACCGTCTTCGGAATTGGGGGGGATTGCGCCCACTGTGTTAAAAAAGGGACTTTCCGAAGAAAGGTCAAAGGTCGAACGGCTCCTACCGGATACTCGGGAAGGCCGTAAAAATCGTAGGGAAAATATGTGATTGCGCGAGCTCGAACTCTACCTTTCGGTAATCACGCTCGTGTTAAGCGTACAGAATAACAAGTAGACGGCAAGTGTAGCGACCTCTATTATCGCCGCCCGAACGTAGACCTATAAAATTCCTACTGGGGGGGTCCGGTAACTAAATATAAATACCACGTTTGTTAACGCTCCTCCCCTCTTCACTTTACAAAGTTACGCTTCTCCCCTCTTAAAACCAAGCGCTGGACGGCGTTACGGACGGACGGACGCCTCTACGTGTCTTAATAAAACAGGGGCGAATGAGGGAGAGGGGGGAGAGAAAGATCGCGTTAAATAAACCGAATTAATTGGCGTTGCAAAGGGGTTCGAACGGGCGTTTCCGTGTGTCGTTTCGGTAGTCCGACGGGGGATCGTCGCTTTCGATGGCTAGCGACGATCCGGATGTCGCTCGGGCCCCCTCGAAGGACCTCGGAACTCGGCGTTCTTCTTTAAGTAATTTACGAGGCGGGTGGGAAAAAAACAGCGCGAGAGACGTGGGCGCGAGCATTAAGACCGAGAACGAATGAGAAATTACGCGCGAGAAAAGCGATATTTAGCAAAAGCGAAAATTGCGTAAATTGCGATTAATCGGGCGGTTCTTTTTTATGTCGAGCGACGAGAAGAGGATTTCGGGGGGAAGGCATTAAATAAATTTAAAAGCGGGGAGAAGCCCAATCTTCCGGTTGCCTCTTTATACCTAACGAGTGCCGCTATTAACCGGAAATGCCGTTATTTTCCGCGTTTTTTTTTCTCTCTCTCTCTCGCCACCTCCTACCATCGCTCGCGCGACTTTTACCATCGTCGCTTACGAGCCCGAAACTCTCGGAAAAAAGAAAGCTGCTACATTTCTTCCACCAGAAACAACCGATTACGATCGGAGAGGGGTCGAAAAATTATACCGGGGAACCAATCCCTCCAGATGGACGTCGTCACTTTTTAGCCAGGCGAGAAAAACGGACATAGCGATACTAGTTACAAAAAATAAATAAAAAATAAAAAAGTCAAGAGCTCGAACTCTACTTTAAGGGTCGATAATTACGGGTGGAGTACGAAAGCTGCCCAGCGTATTATCGCTGGACGGGTAATAAACGAAACGAAAAAGCGATAAATCGCGCGACTAGAACGCCGGACTCGGGCCGCGAGTCGAAAGGAATTAGCATAAAATTTTTACCGCTGCTCATTGGTCAGTCTGGCGAAAGGATTGACCAATAATTCTCTTTCCTTTTTAATTTATGTCGAACTCGAGTTATCGCCCGTTAATTATATGTAAGAAAGTGTAGTAATCGGCCTGGAAAAAACAAAAAAAAAAAGAAAAAAAAAGAAAAAGAAAAATGTCTCGCTGCTCCTCTTCGCTAGCGAATTTCCCGCTGGCGAATTGAAAACCACCGGTAGATTTACGCGGTCGTTAAGGTTGGCGTGGTGGACATCGATCCGGGTGGGTAGATGGGGAGGAACACGAGGAGACGGGCCCGAATCCCCCCCCACACAACGTAAAGAAAGAAGAAAATGGCGGACGGGAGACGATGTCCGAGTAACAGGAGATGACGTCAGCGGGTCAAGAGAGGTTCCGGTGGTGGTATTGGAGGGTGTAGAAGGTGCAGAAGGAGCTGTTCGGGGTCGGATATAAAACGAGCCGATTTGCATGATCGCCCGTGTCTCGTTTTAGCTCCTGGAAGGCGCATATCTGTATGCAAATTCCTCTACCGACTGCTTGAGTTACTGCCGTCGGATGTACCGTAATAAAAGTAGAATAATAAGAGCGGACGTCCTTTGGCATGCCGTCCGGCTCCTCCGCTGTCATATTAGAATGGATTAAACTCGGTTGCTTCCAACTATAAAGTATCCACGTGGTGCACCGCACGTGCTCTACCCCATTGTTTCGTCTTTTCTGAAAGTCCGGTTATTTTTTATGCCATTTCCCTTTTGATGGCTTCGACGTCGAGGCTAGAAATGGATACTTTTTAAATGTTACTCTTGCAAATGCCGTAATTTTTTATTAGAAGAAAGAAATAAATGAGGTTTTTTTTTATTTTCTTTTCTATCTTATTCCTCTTCTTCTTCTTCTTCTTTTTTTTTATTATTGAATCTCGCAGATTGTGACGATATTAATCCGCGTAACCGACTCCATCTTCTTTTTTCCCGATTTTTATACGTTTTGCCCCCTTTTTTTTTATTTGTTAATTTCTATCGATCTTGTTTCCTCCGTTTCCTCCCCCCCTCTCCGAAGATTTTTTTCCCTCTCTCTCTCCTCCCTCTTCTTCCCCCATATAAATATATATATTTAAATCCTTCCGCGCCGTCGTTTCCGGTGTGTTTGTACACCCCCGTCTTTACCGGAAGTTGCGGCTTTTTCGGAATTTCCTCGCGCCCAACAGGTAAGAATCGCGGCGGCGTCTCGCGCTTCCGAATCCTCACTCTCTCTCCTCCCCCCGTCCGGAAAAAGTAGGACAGATACTCGGCTCATTTGGAATAATAATAATTTCTCGGAAGGATAACCTTTTCGTTAATAAAAATCCAATGGGCTGGCAAAAATAACGGACGAAAAGTGACGCGAGGTGTTCGACGTCACGCAACCTGTCACGAGCGACGGAATAGAATGGTCGAAGCGTAACTATTTCAATAAAGTCTGGCTATTGTTTGCCAATCATGTCGGCAGACTCGACGGTCGCATGACCACCTGGCCGCTCCGAGAGGTAATTGAAGAGAGTGACACCGTCGGTTGCCAAGACGACCGCGTTCGACCGGGGGATACGGAAGTGGACCGAGGGGGGAGGAGAGAATTGTTTAATTGAACACGCTTCCTATCGTTGGACGTCCGACCGGAGGGGAAGGAAGAAGAAGAAGAGGAAAAAAAAAGGTCGACGGAGTAAGGGGTGCTCGAACGGCGCCATCTATCGTCCGTCTTCTCAACTAGCGGCGATTACATACGCGAATTTTTTTTTTTTTTTGATCACCCCTCGCGCGCGCGCGCTTAGTTTTTTTCTTAGGGAAGATCGATGCGAGATTTACGCGCGTAACGGTTGAGCGAGAGGGGGGGAGAGAAATAAAATGAATGCGACAAATGTCCGAGAAAACCATTTTAGGAAATAAAGTGGAGAAAATAAAGTAGAAATGTTAGTAATGGAGGAGTTAAAAAAGGAGGGATTGCCCGAGATCCACGCATTAATCGTATTTTGGGGTGGAAAGAAAAGGAAGGTCATTAAGAATTGAGGTTTCTTATATAATTCGCCGTAAAGCCCGGGCGACAAGCATTCAGCCAAGGTTTTATTGACTCAGATACCTCTCGTCACATTAAGGCATTCTTTTGATTTGCACTCTCTCTCTCTCTCACACACACACACACACACTAAATGAAGGGGAGAAGCTTTTGTTAGCCGTGTCTCGAGACATTGTTTTCTCTTCTTTAGCTTAAGATAGACACCAAACAATCGAAAAGCGCACTAATAATAATTATAATCTACGTAAACCGCCGGCCTTATTGTGAACTTTAGATAAGTATAATTGTACACTGCTCAACTAATGTATCCATATGGTTGTTATCTTGGCAATAATGATTTCGCATTAGTCAAGGATTATCTGCCAACGAGCGGTGACTTATCGACTTTGCTTCTAATAATAAGGGGTAATTAATGCATCTTTTACAAACGTTTCTCTCTCGCCGACGAAATTCTTTCCCTTCTCTCTCTCCTCTTCCTCTTTTTTTCCTCCCCTCTTTTCTCTCTCTCTCTCTCTCTCTCTTTCCCTCCTATTTTATGCCTCCACATCTGCTCTTCTTATTATGTTCCAGGTGTCTTTGCATTTTTCGACTTGCCGGGAGTGGTCATCGTGTATTAATGTTGTGACACTGCCTAGTTTGTCCCATTCACCGTGACATCTGTTCTTTTTAAACACGGTAGGTGGCCGGGCGCATTTGTATTGTATACCCCTAACATCTGTACTTCGATCGGCGACTATAGGGAACCGATTGTATTGGTTGATTTATGACGTCGATAGAAAATTACACCGAGAAGACGAGACTCGATATAATTTACTAGCCGTTAATGCTACCTTTTTTTTCTAACTAGAGTGCCTGTTTTGTTACCACCGAGCGGGGTAATCGAGTGCGGGTTATATGTTATTTCTACCGGTTGCGCCCTTCCTTCCATCAGTTTATCTATTATGTAGTGATAGAGGAGCTCGGCCAATTTACCAGTGTTTCCAATCGCCCCGTCGTCCGAATGATTGTCGTTCCATACTGCAAGCATCATCACCATCGTCGTCGTCCCTCGATCCAAACACTAGACAATAGAAATTGCCCCCCCCTCTCCCCGTAAGAGTCAATAGACGAAGATAATTATTAAGAATGTGGGGGGTGTGGACCCAAGTTTGTTACAGAAAAATATGAAGTTAGGAGCGAGCTCGGTCGATCGAATCTTTACGATCGTAACCCCGGGCTGTAATTCTTACCCGTGTTTGCTAAAGTAACAGTTGACTAGAAAATAAAGGAAAGTTTGTTTAAAATTCTTGAGGTTTTGTAGTGTGATCACTTTCGATTGTTTGTTTAAGTCCGAAGGTTTGTCTAATTAACCCTCAATGAAGTATTGAAAAGGTTGGAGAGTATAGAAAATGGAGTTATGCCCGAGGGGCGTAACGGAAAACGATTTTAATGTTGTCGAAAACGAGTTTGTCAATTATCATTTGATGTTAAAACTATCTATTAAATAGCTAAAGGAAACAAAGTTTTCTTATAATAAAATTGTAAACTCCTAAATTAATTGCAGGAGGCTCGCATTTTTAACGAGGAAAACCGGCGTTAAATTCTTCTATTTGTTTACGTATTATTTTTTTTTTCTCCCCTTCCCCTTCCTCCCCTCCTCTCCAGAAGTTTCGACTTCCGAAAATTCCCTCCCTTCCTCGTTTAAAAAATAATAAAATAAACGTTTTTTTTTTTGGTCAGGAGGGAGGTGGGTGGATTTAAAAAAGTGTTACCAGCTGCGATAACCCCCTAATGAAAAGTTATAGAAGCTAATCTAAAGGGTTGAAAGTTGTAAAGTAATAGAGGGTTGCGAGCTTAAATTGGATGTGTGTGTGTATCTGTGTGTGTGTGTGTGTAGAAAAGAACCAAATATCCTGTCTAACTGACAAGTAAATTAGCATATAGAAACATTTGTGCAATTATTTTTGTTCTAGAAACTCGGCCACATCAATATCGAAGCCAAGACTTAAGTCTATCGACGTCTTAAGGTGTTGTTAAAGCTTAAATCGTTTCCGGATTCGGTGCTGCCAATCCTCTAATAAACACCGGTGATTGTGACCGATTGTCAGCAACGTTAAAAGAAAGGCAATTTTGAAGGGATCGTTGTAACTCCTGCCATAATCGTAATTCAACTAACCTGACACGTGACTGCTTTTTCCTCTCTCTCCACTCCATTTTCCCCCCACCTTCTACCACCTTACTAATTAAGTACGCTCCGTTATTAACCGTGGAATTTTTCTCTTTTTTTTATTATTATCATATGTATTTTTTTTTTTTAATTTTTCGATAAATACGCTCCCCGCATTATCACGTGCAATCGTTTCTTAACCTATTCCCAAATGTTTCTTAACCTCCCTCCCTCCCTTTTTCTTAAAGTCGATCGTTAGCGACGTCCATCTTGCGCCTTATAATTTATTATAAACAAAGAAAATCGAGCGTGTTTGAGGCGATAAAAAAAAAAACAAAGGGGGGGGGGAAGTCCGAGCGCGTGGCTGTGTCCTATAAAAGAAAAAAATACACGAGACCAACAGGAGTTGGCACGTGGTGATAGTAAGAGTAGTGGGAGCAACGTCATCGCCACCGTATTAACGAGAAGACAGGAAGAAGAAAACAGTATTTAAATCTACTTAGGATAAGGAGGGGTGAAGTACGGGAGCAATGAGAGGGATTTTAATTTTTGGATGTATAAAGAAGAGAGAGAGGAGGTCGAAGGATTTGGCTTTAGTCGTAGAATAAGGGAAAACAGATATATTTCATGATTTAGTGTCGAATGAAAAAAATGAACTTCATCCGCAGAATACAGAGAGGAAAGGAAAACATAAAACGAGTAAAAGCGTGTAGCTAAGAGGAGGAGGAGGAGAAGAGGAGGAGAAGGAGAAGCGAGTAACGAGCGTGAAGCTTAAGAAGGGTTACGACGATATTGAACACGAAAAGAACAGCCAAAGAGAAGAGCAACGAAAGGGCAATGACATTGAAGAACAGCAAAAGAACGATAATATCGGATACCACCGAAAACATATTCGATCTACGTCATAAAAGAAAAGGTAGGCAACACTCAAGACTGCAGCCAGATTGAGTTGACCCCTTCACCAACGTTTCCTCTTCGGGTAAGTGGCGACGATTCATTCTTAGGTTAATCACTTCTCTCTCTCTCTCTCTATCATTTCCACCCCGATATAACGAATCGAGTCCGAATTAACGGGGAAAAAGCCAAAGGGCAGACACCAATATATGTATTTTTGAACGGATTTTAACGTATTTACGGGATGGGAATCCGTCATCTTCGCGCATCGATCACCGTCGAGGGTGCTAAAAATGCCGGAGAGTAGCCGTAAAATTAACTCTTTGTACGGGATTAAAATCGATATAAAGTATAAAAATGGGCCCTCCGATTAAAATCGGACTTTCTACGTCCCCCCCTCCGATTGGGTTTCCTTTCTTTTTTTTTATCGGTGCCAAGAATGGGAGGGGGCAGGAATCGCTGTGTCTGTGAGAGCGCCTGTGTGTTGTGTGTGTGGAGAGCGCATTGTCAGGTTATGATTTATAGTTTTAAAGAGAGATTTTTAAAAATAACTTTTAATTCAAAAAGGATAAAGATAACAAAGTTATGACGCAGGAGGTCATGTGATACTTTTACTCATAAAGTTTTATTGAGGGGGTATAGTAGAAGGAATGGTTTACTGAAGCATTTGCCATCAGTGTTTTTCTCGAGCTAATAAATCTTCGATGAAAAATTAATGAGTCATCTGAAGAACTTAATGAGTGGAGTGCCTTGTCTTCCATCAATGCCTTTGCTAATTAATTTTAGCTTGATAAATTTAATGAAGAATTAGACGGTCGTGTAAAAGACGGTGGAAGTATGGCATTTTTCAAATTTTATTAAATTAAATTGTACATTGTCATCTGTTTATATATTTGTCTGGTTTCGTTGGTACAACACATCGTAAAAATGTTGTTAAAGTCGGGACCGGACCCCGACTCGCTCCTTTGCAATTAATGACACCGGACATAAAAGATGTTGAAATATTATCATTGTTTAGTGATTCCTGACCGACTCTGTGTCATTTGAATATTTCTTATGACCTGTCATCTTCCACTCTTAACCACTAAACTCGTAAAAATTCCCTCCCTCTCCCTACACTAAGCTGTAAAATTTTGCTAATAATCAAACCGTCCGAAATTAGAATTCGGATGCTTCAAAAAAAAAAAATAGAGAAGAAGAAGAAAAGGAGGAGGAAGAGGGGATCCATTTTCCGCTTCTTGTCTTTACAGGTGCTAATTATTAAAACAATCTTTTTTCCTCCTCCTCCTCCTCCTCCTTCTTTGTTTTCTTATGTTTTTTCTCCTTCTTCCTCTTCTCATCCTCCTCCTCCTTGTTTGTTTTCTTATGTTTTTTTCTCCTTCTTCTCTTCTTCCTTCCTCTTCTCATCATCCTCCTCCTTCTTTGTTTTCTTATGTTTTTTTTTCTCCTTCTTCTCTTCTTCCTTCCTCTTCTCATCCTCCTCCTCCTTCTTTGTTTTCTTATGTTTTTTTCTCCTTCTTCTCTTCTTCCTTCCTCTTCTCATCATCCTCCTCCTTGTTTGTTTTCTTATGTTTTTTTCTCCTTCTTCTCTTCTTCCTTCCTCTTCTCATCCTCCTCCTCCTTCTTTGTTTTCTTATGTTTTTTTTTCCTCCTTTCTTTTCTCATCCTCTTCTTAGCCTTCTCCTTCTCTCTTCCAATTTCTGCTTCCTCCTACCTCCAAATACTGTTTTTTTAATTAAAAAATCCTCTGTTTAAACTTAGGCAAGCAACTCGTTAAAGGATCAATAGGAGAATGACCGACTAATTTTTGATTCCACATGTGTTTTTTTTTTATCTCTCAGATGCGATCTCGGGATTCGATATTATCGCTTTTGGATCTAGGTAAACAATTAAGTGAGAAGAGGACGGGACGAATTCAATAATTAAAAATAAGAATAATAAAAACTTTCAAGTTTTTCGCATGTTTTACAAAAGTTGGTTAAAGATTTTTCCCAGTCTCTGACACGGTTTTGTGGTGTTTTAAATTAACATAGTTACACCTGAGGCAACGAGAAGAAGAATAAAATTTTATGACAATTATTAACTAGACCAGGAGCGACGAGAAAAGGGCACACTTACAGGATGGATTAATGTTTTCAGATTAAAATAGCTCTTTGTCCCAAGGCATCCAACCCCAATTACATCTGTGTGATTTTTACTGCTTAATCTCCCTTTGCCCGTAATGTAAAAATCCTTATACGCGCCTAAGGTTAAAAAGTATGGTCCCATGTCACCAGAAACATGATTGTTACGTTTTATAAAACCAACGATTTTTAATGGTTAGCGTCAATTTTCGAATTCCTCTTCGACTTTTTTTTTTTTTTACTTTCCTCCTCCCCCTTTATTAATTTGCATCGTTCGTGTTTCAGCCTCTTCTCTCATAAACTGTATCCTTTACATTTTAAGAAACTTTTGCCGGAGACTTCTGTGTTTACAGGTGCTAATTATTAAAATAATCCTTCTTCTTTTCCGTCTCCTCTTCTTTCTTCCTCTTCTTATCCTCCTCCTTCTTTTTCCCCTCTTTTTATCTTACTTCTTCCTCTTCTCATCCTTCTTCCTCCTTTTTTTCTTCTCATCCTGCTTTTCCTCTTCCTTCTCCTTCTTTTCCTCCTCTTTTTATCTTTCTTCTTCATCTTCTCCTCTTCTTTCTTCCTCCTTTTTTTCTTCTCATCCTCTTCCTCCTCCTTTTTTTCTTCTCATCCTCTTCCTCCTCCTTTTTCTCCCCTTTTTATCTTACTTCTTCCTCTTCTCCTCTTCTCATCCTCCTCCTTCTTTTTCTCCCCTTTTTATCTTTCTTCTTCCTCTTCTTCTCTTCTCATCCTTCTTCCTCCATTTTTTCTTCTCATCCTGCTTTTCCTCCTCCTTTTTCTTCCTCTTCTCATCCTCCTCCTTTTTTCCTTTTTATCTTACTTCTTCCTCCTTTTTTTCTCATTCTGCTTTTCCTCCTCCTCCTTCTTTTTCTTTCTTCTTCCTCTTCTCCTCTTATTTCTCTTCTCATCTTTCTTTCTCCTTTTTTTCTTCTCATCCTACTCCTCCTCCTCCTCCTTCTTCTTCCTCTTCTCCTCCTCCTCCTCCTTCTTTTTCTCCCCTTTTTATCTTACTTCTTCCTCTTCTCCTCTTCACATCCTCCTCCTCCTCCTTCCTCCTTTTCTTCTCTTCTCATCCTGCTCCTCCTCCTCCTTCTATTGCCTGATCGTGTTTCTAATTATAAACCTTTTTAAAGGTGATTTTTTAAATTCCATTAAAGTTATATTAAGGTAGTTTTTGACCTTAGAAAAGGCCGGATAATCGAAGTCCCGTATATAAAAAAAAAAAAAAAAATTTGCTGGCAACTTTAAGGAAACGTCAAGAATCTCATTTTTTAAATATTTTTTACCGAGCTAATAACATTATTTAAGGATAATAAGTTAAGTAAAATAAATAAGTTCAAAGAATTTGGATAATAAGATTTATTATCCTTATAGATTAACATAATAGATTACATTTTTCTAGTAAAGATATTTAACGATTTTTATTATTTTTACATAACAGTAAAATTAAATCATTATAAATTTTGGAAGAAAATAATCAGATTAATGCGAACGTCCTGGATAATTATTTTATCTAATGAAGGATGGAGAAGTAATAGTATTTTGCAACAAACAACCGGTTTTCTTGGGTTAAAAAAACCACCAAAAAATAAAAAAAAATAAGCAGCTTCCATACCGTAAGATGTAACTAAAAATTAAATTAGAGAAAGGTAATCAAAATTTTTTGGATGCTTTTTCCTGTTTTTATCCCCCCTTCTTCTTCTTTCTTTTTATCCTGAAAGATGCAAGTGATGCGGATCAATATATATATATATATATATATNACGTCGATTGATTCATCTTTTCTTCCTGTTATACGTCATAATATAAAGCCATTTCGAGTGAATGTAATCGCTTTTATCATTGGTTTATAAAGATTCAAATTCGGTGTTAAAAAAAAATTGAATTTTCTGGTTGTAAGTGAGGCAATTCTTAATTAAAATTTAAAAAAAAAATTGAGTTTATTTTTTCGAATTTTTAAGTGTAAGAGATTTCTAATGGGAGTTATCAAATGTCAGAATAAAAATATAAATTTTTACATAGAAATTCTCGAGTATAAAATTTCGTTTTATGGGTTACAACTCGAATTAAATTTGAAAAAAAAAAATGAAGTGGAAATTAATAATTTATTCTAGGATTTTTAATGGGACTTTTACAATAAACTTTGATAATTTTTATGTATATATTTTTAACCTTTTAATCGAAATTATAAGAGAATTATCTGGTCTTTTTTTTCGCCTCAATCGAGCAATTTTAGAGAAGTTTCAACGCGATAAAAAAAAAGAAGAGTGTATAAAGATGCTAATTATTATACACTCCTCTCCTTCTTCTTCCACGGAGATGCAGGAAACTCTTCTTAATATTCTTGTTATAAACTAATTTTAAAGAGAAAAAAAAAACAATTTCGTCAAGTGTAAGATGAGCATTTCCGGGGAGACAATTCTCTACATCGTGGTTTTCCAACAGGAAATGTAAAATTTAAACCATAGAAGAGTGAAGAAACTTATTGTTACACCAACCGACTGAAGGATAAGTGCGTGTGTGTGTTGTGTGTGAATCTAAACCCCGAAAGTGAAGGGAGAGAGTAAGCTAGGAGAGAAGAAACTCTAATAAATTCAATATAAAATTCACATTTCTTCTTTACTAACTCATGTCAAAGGTCGACAATCCCTTCTCTAGACATTTACACAGAAAAATTCTACAGAATTAACGAAGAGGAACGTAGAGAAGAAGAAGAAGAAAAAAGAACAACAACATCCAGATCATTGTAAAGATATTTAGAAAAGGGATGAAGGTGTTAATGACGAGATATTTTTATCTTTCTTTCTATGTTAGAAGATAGAAATTAAATCTTAAAAAGTAAAACAAATAATTGCTTTACACGAATTATAAATCCGGAGTAAATGAATGTTTCTGATCAAAGAAAGTTTTAAGAGATCGATTTAAAAACAGAAAAAAAAATGATAAGAGAGAGAGAGAGAGAGATTTTCTGCTGGATTGATCATAAGGATTTTAATCGTTTTATTACACGCAGTTGAATATTTTATGATTTGATTAAATAAAATTAAAATAATAAAAATCTAAAAGATATACTAAATAGTGGAAAGATGAGAAAACTGGTCTTCTTTTTTCTTATCTACTTTCCTCTCCTCACTTAAAGAGATTGCCGATTTGACGATAGAATTAATTTGTCAAGCTCTATAGATGCAACTTGCTGGAGGATTTTTTTTTTATTCCACTATTTTAAGACCTCATCCACTAAATATATGCAATTGGTTAGCTCTTTTTTTTTTTCTATTGTTTTAATGAGATTTGTCGATAATGTAAGTAATAGAGAGGATTTCTGATTTTCTTACCAGCAAAATTATTTAATTAATCGAAATTTTTCTTTTCATATAAATATAAAAATCATTCGTCTTTTTCCCCATTTGTAAATGCTGAGGAATATAATATAATTTCGTCACAATTGGATAAAATAGTTTCTTGACGAATTAAATTCCATTGTTTTTTTTTTTTCCTTTTCTTCCTTCGTTTCTGATTTGTTTCCCTCACCGGCAGGGAAAAAATCAGGGGGAAAAAAAAAGAAACGGAGTATAAGCCCGAGGGTAGGGAAAAAAAAATCCTCAATTTACTAGATTCTAGGAATTAGTTTAGTATTTGATATCAGGGAAAAGAATATTTGTCTAACATTTCAATAAGATATCCTTAATCTGCTTGCCTAGAGATATTTAAAGAATCGAAGAAAGGAATGAAAGAAAGCTCCTAAGAAAAGTGAGTTTTCTAAGGGATTTTTTGTGTATTTCTTTTTTTCTACATTAAAGATTCTTTCTTTTCTCTCCTCACCCTTTAATTCGAGTGCCTTTTAACTCACCCATCTATTAAAATACCTTGTGTTGTTGTTGTTGTTGTAGTAGTAGTTCCTCTGTCACGCCGAAATTATCTCGTGCGAGTTGATGAAATTTAATGGATTAATTAAGCTAAACTAGAGGATTATTTGGGATTAATTTCGATTAACATCCATTCGTTAACTAATTAATTCCCTAATATATATATTTTTTTCGTTAATTGGCGGAGAAAAATACAGTTTTTCTTCCCCCCTTTCTCTCTTACCTTATTAATATTAAATTTATGCGATTTTATAAGGAGAAAATACACAAAAATATTAAAATTTAATTGGAAGAAAATCTTAGAAGAAGAATGAGATGATGTAAAAATCTAACTTTCTCTCGACTCCATCGGTTTGAAAAATCAAACATCTGGAACATTGGAATGTGCGATGAAATTCGGACACTCGTAAACCTTATCCTTGGGCATAACATTCATTAAGTTTGGGTTTCTGGCTCTGTGTTTCCCGAGAGAGAGACGGCAATAACTTGGCTTCAGTTGGTCACACCGAGCTATCAAAGCAGCAGCTTTGCGTCAATAATCGTCTCCAGACTATGGTTTAACTAGAGGTAGTAAAAAGAAAATAATAACGAACCAGTCAATATTGTCCGTTGTCATGGAAACAAAAGAAGGGAATGTGGAAAGAGTTGTAAAGACAGTTCCTAAGCTGTCTACTTGTTTGCTGGGACAAGGTGAACCTACCGAATCTTCGTCTCCTTTTTTTTCCCTTCTTCTTCTTCTCCCATATCCAAATCCTCCCAGATTTTCTTCCTCATCTCCAAGCGTGATGTCATAATCGTGATAAATAACGACACACCAACGATTTATTTTAGTGTTTTATTAGTTAAAAAAAGAAAAAAATCCCCCATATTTAACACTGGTTACGTGAAGAAGAGCGAGAGCGAGAGAGAGAGAGAGAGAGCATCATTCCGGATGCAGCAGGTGAAAGATTTTTAATCAGGAATAATAAAATATCCCGGAATTTTTGAAGGTAAAAATCGATAATATAAATCAACCAATTTTAAATTTACCGAATTGAATCAATCTTCATCCTCCTGGAAAGACGGAACAGCTCTATAGTCGTTTGGTGAATGTTCCCACAGAGAGAACAAATCATGACATGGGGTCAAATGTCGCTACTTACTCCAAAATCTCTTTTCTAACGTGGCTTTAACTCAACCACATTATTGATAATCTCGTCGACAGGTAAAATTGAATGTAACTTTAAGTACGTGCCGTGGGGACGAGTTGGAGTAACTCAATAGTTAAAATTCATGTGTAATTGACGAAACCCATAACAAAAATACGTTTAGATAATAAGATTTGGAAAATTTGTGGCCGACGAAACTTTCGCTATTCTCCCTGGTGAATCAGAATGTCATTTGTTAAGAAGTCAACTGACAGCTCGAATGTTCGTTCTTAGTTGACGGGAATGTTGCTATGGCAGCAAAAGGAAACGTAGAAAGAAATCTATTTTAATGCAAACATTTACAGGAATATTAGAGAAAATTCTTGATTATTTCCCGAAATTCGCATCCATTTTAAAAAGCTGGAAGCTAAAATGAAAGCATTAAAAACGAAGAACTAAATTCTCCTCCCGTTAATTAACCGTTTAGACTTATTTTTCGAGGTTTATTACCCAAAAAATTATAATTTAGAACAGGCGACGAACCCAGTTTTAAAGCGGGAGGGTTATTAAATAATTAAATTTACGTTTTATCATCGACTTTCTAACGAGAAGACAAATATCCGAAGCAAATGACATTCTCCCCTGTAAAGTGGTCTTTTTTGCAAGGACGTAAGCTCGGCAGGAAAGCCGAACCAATGCGATCTTTGGCGACAGACTCGAAAGTTGTGTCTGTTGCAGCGACTCCTTGTTCATCGGCATCGAAATTTATTATATTAGCGAATCTCAAACAAGAGAGGAAGAGTTGAGTTAAGCCTTGCACCAAACTCGATGGAGCGTCGAAGGGGAAGGAGGGAAGAAAAGACGGGGGGAAAGGAAGGAGGTGTACGAGAGGGATGCCTGGAAAGATGATAGATGGAAAAAGTCTTCTTGCGTCTTCGACTGGATGCACGTGGCTGGACGCACTGATGAAATTTCTGTCCTGTGCGTAGAGCGTGAGGAAAAACGCCGAACTACGTTAAGGATCCAACTCATTAAATTTCTCCTAATGACTTCTCTGTTAATTGACTTAATTAATTTGCTATCAGAAACAGTTTCTCGGTGAATATGAGATCTTCATTCGTTAGCGACATTCTGTACCGCCTGCCCGTAATTACCTAGTTATTTCTGGATATAAATTGTCATGGACGCTGACATCTGCTGGATACTGGGTGGTATTAGTATCTAGAAGACACTCGCATCCGATAATGGAAGAAAAATCCGTCCTAGACAAAAACTACCACCCTCGAAAGAAAAATAAATTACTCCTTTTAAAAATATAAACCTGTATAAAGAGGACAAGACGGCCTTTGTATAATTAAAAGATAGAAAGAAAAGGTTAGAAAGTCCGAGAAGACGACAAGATGCTAATTTTATATTTATGGGTATCTGTCCAATTTATCAACTAATTCCGATCTGACGTCACGTTCGTTACCAGGAGTGAAAAGCGTCCACACCATTTTGAACCGCTACACATTAATTATTTCCTTATTGAGTTAGGTCGGTAGGAGAAGTCCTTAGCCCAAAGGCACGGGCGACGTGCATGATGGGAAAAACCATCAAGGTGTGTCCTAAGGGTTGGCGTCTAATATGCTGTTGCACAGACAATCAGGGAAATTAGGCGGGATCGGCAATGAATTCTGACAGCGACTCTCGCTTCGGACGTTTTGTTAGTCAGACGAGTTTGGAAATTAACTCTCACTTTTCGCTCGCCTTTGGCCATCGACGACGCCATTTCGGTGAAGACCGCAGGCTACGACACCACTCCGTTGTTATTGAAGGGGACAGGTTAGAGTCGGCGGAAGTTTTTAACCCTTTTCTGTTCGATTGGTGAGCCTGCAGCCACGCTAACTCTCATTCAGTTTCCCTTAATGACTGTTGTTAATGGATAGCAGAAATTAGAACGTCTTTAGCTTCCCTTCTTCCACCCTATCAAAACCGATGTGTCATTTTGCAACACTAATTTCATCCTCGTCCACCTCGCTCGCTCTCCTAACTCCTAAATCGAGTTTCTGCAACCGAAGAAGAAAAGAAAAAAAAACGGGGTAATAAGACGTATCGAAAAATCGTTTGGGGTAAAGTCTGAAAAATGCCACACCCGATACACGAAAAGGTTTTTGCCACCGAGCATCTTGGAAAGACGTAAAAATGCCCGCTCTCGCCTTTTATTACCTTTGTTTTTTTAACGATTAAAAGAATAGAAAAATCATCTCGGATAAGGAAAAGATGCAGATGTTGAGGAGCAATAAAAATTCTTTTTCTCCTTTTCTTTTTTTTATATCATTTCGATATGTTTCTTTGCTCTTTCGACACCTTCCATCCATAAGAGCGCATCTCCTTTAGGTCTTTATTACGATTAACTCCAACCCTTCTTTACAATATTCCTCCCACAAACAAAAGATATACATTCATTCTTTCGTTACACAATACGAATTTCTTTTATCTATACTACATTCCCTCTATACAACGCATATTAGGTCAGTTTACAGCATCCTTCTTAGAGCGGTGCAGCATGATTCTTAGGACAGTGGGAGGAACACGCGTAAACGGCGTGAGAATGCCAACGTTTTCGAGTGCGTTAATGGAGTGTTAACTTTTTTATTTTTTATTTTTTACGAGGAAAAAATTAATAATAAAAATGGCGGCGCGCCTGAATCGACGACACCGATTCTAAAGAATCACCCCTTTCACGTTCTTTTATCTGCATTTAATTTCAGCTGATTAACTTTTTTCTCCCTTCGCCGAGAGGAACGCAAATAATATCCGGAAGGGAAATCTATTTCCGGTCTGCACCAACGAGACTTCCGGTGGGAAGAGAGTGGGGAAGAACGAGAAGAAAATCGAAACACTGTCGACTTTAATTACAATAATTGCTTCGGATGAAATTTGTGGCGAATGTGTAAATAGGGCTAGTCTGAGTCAAGAGCCATATGGCGAATTCTCACAAGATACCAAATTCAACCCTTTCTAACTAAAATAAACTTATATAGCCAGTCGATTCCCATGTTACCTATGATTGATATGGCATCACCGGATGATGGATCTGTAAAACCTCGGAGGAAACGCAACTGTTTCTAAAATGCCATAAAAAGAGAGATTATCCACTCGTGTTTATCGTCTCGGAACAACGGATAGACATCCGTACGAGCGGTCAAGAGAGAATTTTTATCGATACGCACGCAGCTCTTCTCTCTATCTCTTTCTCCCGATGCTCTTTTTATTTTTAGTGACGTCCACTCTAACAGTAAGAGCGTAAGTGTGTAATCTCTTTTTCTTTCGCTCCTCTTATTTTTTTTAAAAATATTTTTATATTTCTTTAAAGAAAAGGTAAACTGTCCTAAGAATAGTGCTGCAAACTGTCCTATGAATGGTGCTGCAACTGCTGTAAGATTTGTTGCTGCAAACTGTCCTAAGAATGCTGCTGGAAATTGCCTTAACAATGGTGCTGCAACTGCTCTAAGAAATGTTGCTGCAAACTGTCCTAAGAATGCTGCTGGAAACTGCCTTAACAATGATGCTGCAACTGCTCTAAGAATTGTTGCTGCAAACTGTCCTAAGAATGCTGCTGGAAACTGCCTTAACAATAGTGCTGCAACTGCTCTAAGAAATGCTGAAAACTGTCCTAAGAACGGTGCTGGAAACAAGTCGAGTCAGGCGCTCCCAACGCTTTTCCAAAGGGGAAGAAAACACTAAGTTAAGTCTACAGGTGTCGAGGAAAGGAGATTTTTGAACCGTAAAACGAGTCGACCGGCAGCATTAGTTACAGCTGCACAAATCACCTTCTCGAACGGAACGTTTGGTAAACAAAAGGCGGGTCCGGAACCGAACCACGAACTTTGAATCGGTGTCCGGCCCCCCTAAAAAAAACTAATTAATTAAGATATACGACGTCTCTACCTCGGTCGAGCGTCTAACGGCCCATCAAACGCCAACAACTGTTATAAATCCATTTACAAGTAAGAAATTTACGAGGAACGAGAGCCAACGTGCCAGCTTGAAATATCGCGAGAGCAGAACTGATAGGATTACAAGGTCTCTATAGCCAACCATCGACTGGGCACACGGCATCTCTGACGCTATTAAAGCGACGTTTGCTCGACCGTCGACACTCTTAAGAATTAAAAGAAAGAAATACGAAAAAAAAGGATGCGGGGGGAAGAAACACCGGTGGGGATCCAAAAGATCCGAAATCGATACGAGTACAAAGCGCATTTATAATAATAATAATAATCGGCGTGTAGAATCCGAAATAAGAATAAACTGATACTCGTCATCTCTTTACAATTTTTAATTAATTTAATACGACAAACACACACACACAAACACACTTAAGCCTAATTACCGTAAGCGTGCATACTAAAACGTTCCATCTCCTCCCAACAAGCGGAGGTCGAGGAAGAAGGAAGCGAGCGAAAGTAGAAAAGAGAAAGGGAAAGAAGAAAGAAAAAAAAAAAAAAGAAGAAGAAGGGGAAACACTCGCCGGTGGTGGTGTGTGTGTTGTATAATTCAAATGCATCTAGCATCCTACTTTTACGTGTAGGCATATTCATCACCTGGCGGATGATTTCCAGGACCGAGAGCGCCAACAACATCCCCGTACATTCGAAGAATATTTTACTCCACTTTAGGTTTACTTAATTAATTCTCAGTGCATTAATTTTCAACCGTTACAACATTCTACTAATTAGTTCGGGTCGTTGCCGGGTGAAAAATGTGGACTCCTAACCACCTGGACTGGATTGCAGAAAAGTTTGATTGTAAACTTTACCGAGCGTAAAAGGATATCGCTTAGTTTTTCTAATCGAGATTGAAAATGTTAAATTTTATTTTAATTTTCGGGCGGCATTTTCTGCGCCGACGTTTATCCAATCTGCTAAGAAGGACGAGTCGCTTTTTCTCTCTCCCCTTTCTCCCCCTCCCCTTAATACATCCGTTAATTCTTGTTCTTCTCTTGTTTACTCCACGTGGAAGAGGGCGGAGGTTGGAGAGGCGGAGGGGGAGGGAGGGAGGAAAAAAAAAGTATGCGCGCGCGTGGGGGTGAGGAGGGTGGTGGTGATCTCCCGCCCGTTGTGTGTGGCAAGCTCGCGCACGGTTCGAGTGACTCCCGCCTAGCCATTTGGACCTATTAAGTGGGCTTTAAAAGGTAGGAAAAGATGGCAAAATTAAAAGGGTGGACCGAATGGTAGAAAAGTGAGGAGAGAGGTAAGAACTTCGATCCCCGTGACGTAATCTAATATATAAAAATTTAATACTACAAACGAGCCGCCAATTGCGTAAAGCGAAAAATCAATTTTTTTTTTTTTTTTTTTTAAAGTTTCCAACGAGAAAATATAATTTGGTGCACTTTTATTAAACGAGCGACGAAAAGAAGTTGGAAGAAGCGGAGTAAAAGGGAGATAAAAGGTAGGAAAAAAAGTTATTTTATTTTTTTATTTTTTTTATTATTATTATTATTTTTTTTATTTTATTTTCTTACCTGACCAGAAAAATGACAAAACAAAAGCTTTCAACAAAACACTTCGTCATCGGTAAGCCGAGCACGCGAACGTCACGTGAGAGGCGTCAACCAATGGCTTCTCTTATAATAAGGTTGGCCATTTTTCATTAACGGCACGAATAAAGATAAGGTGTAAGGAACAAAGTGATTTTAATGAACGGGGGACTTTTATGGAAGTAGACAACTACGTGCCTTGGGTTCGGCTCTACACTTTTCTTTATCAACACCCCATTGTTGCCGTTACCTGGTTTGTCACCGACTTGGCTCTTTTGTTTCCAAAAATGACTCTTTTCATTTTCTTCTGCGGGCCAGGAAACAGGTGATGCGAACCAACCCGCGTGTAATGTTCTGTTCTCCCATTGTTCGGTGCAATAAATGCTTAGTTTTATGCGCCGACGATACCGGCCGTATCCATTGTTTAGCAACTAAAGCGCATTGTTTTCTCAATTTTATCTCATAACCTTTACCGGAGGTTCTAAAAATTATAAATGTTATAATTCCGGATAAGATTATCTCGTCGGGGTTTTTCTCCTCCTCCCCACCTTTTTTCCCCCCTCCGATAATTCCGCACACCAGAAAATTATCTAACACCTTTCCGACGCCATCGCCATCTATTGTTAAGTAAAGAAAACACCACCGTCCCCCCTCCAAATCACCCACCGATACGGGGTGATGTTCGAAAAGATCCCGACGTTTATCCCGAAAACGTTTAGAGTTAGGGGGATAAAGTAGAGAAGAGGCCTCGACCGCGGATTCCTTCCGCATAATTATATAGGGAATGTTCTGTCATTTTAAAAGACACGTTGGCAAAATCAAATTAAGTGGTGAAGGCATCTTCATTTTTCACCGCATCCCCCTGGCGGTGAACTGTGGAAATCGTGCCACACACCGCGTCACATCTCTGCGAAATCACTAATTTATCAAAAGAAGAGTTTTTCCTTCGTTTATCCGCCCACCTGACAC